AAAAAAAATCCCTGGACATGGGATTTATTTTTTTGCCATGCATTGGTCATAGAGCTCTTTGTGGTGTTGCCTCAGATGTTGAACTAGATTTGTTGCGCCAAGTTCACACGTACTCCGTCTGCAGTGCGTATACAGTATGTGTATGCAGTGCAGAAGCAGCACGGACTTATTTTGCTTTCGCACAGGACACGTTTACAGTCCGCTCCTGATCCGTGACTGTTTACCACAAACACAACATTTATCCATTATTTTGAGGGCTGTGCAATATGGACAAAAAAAAACCATCCCGATTTCTTTGATCAATTTTACGATTTCGATTTTAATCACGATTTTGACACACACAGATTTTGACACGCACAGACATGCTTTACAGTCATTAATGCGATATTCTAGAGACATGTAGATCCCCCGTGTCCAGGGATTTTTTTTTTTGCCATGCGTTGGTCATAGAGCTCTTTGTGGTGTTGCCTCAGATGTTGAACTAGATTTGTTGCGCCAAGTTCACACGTACTCCGTCTGCAGTGCGTATACAGTATGTGTATGCAGTGCAGAAGCAGCACGGACTTATTTTGCTTTCGCACAGGACGCGTTTGCAGTCCGCTCCTGATCCGCGGCTGTTTACCACAAACACAACATTTATCCATTATTTTGATTTCAAATCCAAACGTTGTTTCTGAAAATGCTTTTTCAGCATTGTAATTCTCTTTTATCACAGTACAGTAATACAATCTTTCATAGACATATTCACGTTTAAACTCAATAAATATAACTTTAACTACCACCACGAATGCCATCTATTATTGCCTTGTTTATCTAAAAGTGCACTTTTCCATGTTTTAAATCTAGCCAAAAAGCCATGTGTTGACTGTGAAACAGTAGACTTTAATTATATGCATTCATTGTGTAATTACTAAATTTCCGTGTCAATCCATGTTAATTTTTACCGCGAATAATGCGCTGCTTCAATGTCACTTTAATTCAGCGCGTGCAGCACAGCAGAAATAGATTCCGTGCGGAAACGATCGCAGCATGACTGCTGCAGATGCACCGCTCCTAGAGCGCACTGCCGGACCGCAATCGCGTGCAGTGTGAACGCTCTGATCCGTTAACATGGGCACGGAAAAAATACGCACCACAGACGGAGTGTGTGAACCTGGCGTTACGTTTGTTTGCCCGCCCAATCTGTTCTGTTCTTGTGCTCCATTTAGGCGCGCTACATTCTGATTGGTTCGGATAGCATACTGCGGGAGGTCGGGGGGGTGGAAAATCATGCTATAAAGCGATTTAGAAATCGCGCAAGCTCAATTATACACAAAGTGTATAATTGTAACAGTTCATTGTTGGAGGTGAGCTGAATAAGAGAGAGAGATGCAGAGCGTGTGGAGAGATTTATTTTGAAACTTGTGAATCCATTAGAATCGTTAGAAGACAGAATCGCGATTCATATATGAATAAATTTTTACGTGCACCTCTAGTTTTCTCTTCCTCTTCTCTAAAGCAGCGCTGCATGGCCTCGCCCCCTTTGCTGCCTTTTCCCGAGGGCAGGGTTTATCTGGGTTTGTGATGTCACGAACCCGGGAAGTAACTTGTTGTAGTCCCTACCAGCTGTTTTTGTAGGCATTAAACTGCCAGAATTTTAAAAGACGTTTGCATTGAACTTTCAGCTTTGTAACTTTGCAGATATTGTTTATGCTCAAACAGCAACATTAGACACTAACTAACGTTAAAAAAGTGAAATCGCAATGAACCACCCCTTCAGCATTAATGATAGGCAGCACGTTTATTAGACGTCTGTCTCGTTAACACCGAACACATACAGATCTAAAAATAGTTACACGTGCGTTTTCTTTCTCATCTGTTTACGTTCACTTAGGACAAAAATTCTTTGTGGAAATGCACGGAACAGTTCGAGAACGGACACAGGTCGGGAACCTGCATCGGGACCACTGTTCTCTGTGCTCGCGCTTCAGATGTGTGCGCTGCACGCAAACAGTGAACAGCAAGTTCTTTCCCTTCCTGCACTTAAATAGTTTAAAATCACATTAAAATGCGAACGCGGGAATCGTTAAGCGGAATCGAAATGCACATGTCTTATCGAACACCCAATTATTGGAAATTTGGAACCGGTTCTCGATACCCAACCCTAATTATGGTTATGCTTAGTTAAAAATACAGAATTATGTTACATATGCTTGTACTCGCTCTCTGACAGCATGATTTAAAAAGTTTATTAATTAAAGTTATTAACAGCAATTGAAAAATGAAAGCTCAATGGGGTAAACATGTTTGATGTATGTGCGTTTATCTGTGTTTTTGTTTAAATACAATCCCAAATTAAATGTCTAAACTTTCATTTTGGGTGAACTATCCACAATACATATTGTCGCTCTTTTGCAGTTTTGTATTGCGAAATATTGTGACACAATATATATTACACAATATTATATTATATATTATTACACAGAATAAATTGTAAATATTCATGATATCACCTAGCCTTACTACCTCTCATCCTGTAGGCTTATAATATGTCATGATGCCAAATGGATAATCAAAAGGTTTGTGTGCGAGCAGTAATGTCCAAGCAGATTTTCGCCTTAAGTCTTCAGTTTGTATTTTACTAGCCTTTTATCAAAGTCTTCTGGCCCGATTCAGTCTTTGATTCAGTTTTGGCCCTCAGGGAGGTCAGATTACACAAAGGGCCTTTGCTTTCTTCTTTTCTCCTGCGTTCTTCTGCTCTACTGGTTTATAAAGGGATAGATTGGTGTGAGTCAGTCTACAGCCCATCGATGACCGAGACATCTGTCTCAGGAGCATATATTGTAGCAGGAATCTGGGTTACAGATCTGCGTGTCACAGATCCTTTTTATTTAAAGATTCATCTCGTTGAGTCAGTCAGTGTCTCTCTTGACTTTTGAGGCTAAATATGTTTGAAGCAACTCGCACATTAAATTATGATTGCTGTGTTTTTGGCAAGATCCCAGTGGCTGTTGTGATCAGTCAGTTGTATGTATCTTTTGGGGGGACGAGGGTAGAGGAAATCTGACAGATGTGTGTACGTCTGTTTCTGCCCGTCTACAGCCGACATCATCTCTACTGTGGAGTTCAACCACTCAGGGGAGCTGCTAGCCACAGGGGATAAAGGCGGTCGAGTTGTCATCTTCCAGCAAGAGACTGAGGTAAAGTATCAGGCGATTTCATAGTAACATTATTTCCGCTTTCATTCCCACTTATGTCTTTCTCACAAAAATGGGCTTTTCTTTTTCCAGAACAAGAGTCAGCCACAGTGCCGTAGTGAATACAATGTTTACAGCACATTTCAGAGCCACGAGCCTGAATTCGACTACCTGAAGAGCTTGGAAATCGAGGAAAAGATTAACAAGATCCGCTGGCTACCACAAAAGAACGCTGCACAATTTTTGTTGTCCACAAATGGTTAGTAGAGCACTGGGACTCTGTGGAGTCTTACTGCGCAGTCACACAGAACAATCAGATCTCCATATTTTACTGAAGGATGGAGATGAATACGTAACGTTAACCTTGAACCCTAGGACTTCATAATAGAGATGCTGGGGATTTATTAGATATAAAAATGCCAGATTATGTAAAAAAAAAAAACGTCATTTTAAAATTCTCCAAAAATGCAATTTATAATGTAAAAAAAAATCTAATTAACAATAAAAAAATTACAATCTAGTTCTATAATTCTCTAAAAAAGTTCAATCTAATCTAAAAGTAAAAAATTTGAATATGTTTTACTTGTATACTTGAATATGTTTTAAATGTATATTACATTTATTATCCATTATTAGGGCTGTATGTTTAAAAAAAAGTGCACGTTAAGTTATTAAAAAAGTATTATTATTATTATTTAAAAATTATTGCATATGAGTATTTGCTGAAAATAGCCACCAAATGCAGATAATTCCAAGATGTTACATTACTGTGATTCACAAAAACATTCAGTAGATTAAGTTAGTATTCATATTTTTTATTTATTTAGTTAAAAATATAACTAAAAAATATATAAAATATGTTTGTTTGTCTGTCTGTCTAGTTCATTCACTGAATAAATTGTTGTCAGGACAACTACAGTTTTTATTTAGTATGTATTTATTTATTTATTTTGCTAACATGACCAATTATCAACTTTATTTAATTATTTCAAACTTTAATTATTTTTTTATTAACATTTAATTATCATGTATGACCCTTAATATTAAGTAAACTTTTAAGTCTCTGCAAACCACAAAATTGCCATCCTAAATCACAAACTAATGCATCATTTTATATGGCAATGCATGCTGGGATTAATTTTTATATATTTTTAATTGAAATGTTAAACGATTACTTGAAATCTCCGGGGTTACTTATGGGTTTAAAAGTTCAGCACTATACAGACTGGTTTATGCTTGTAATATAGTCAATACCGATTCCTCCATATTTTCAACTGAAGATGCATATAATAACTTCTGTGAGTTGATGTGAGCTCTGCTAATTCTCCAGATTTTTCCCTGACTCACTGATGCGTCTCCATGCTGTCTAAAAATACGAACTCTTCGACATGTTATGCAACCGGTGTGTATTTAAGACTCTTGAAAAGACTGCGTGCCGATCTTCTGCTCACCCACATACTGGAGAAAGATTAGACCGCTTAGACATGGGAAAAATGTCCAGATGTTTTCAGAATTTAGTGAACTGTCAACTTGATTCGTTATGCCAGTCACACTACCTCTTAATACACATGGAAATAGGTTGGGGTTTTTTTTTTTGTCTCACATAATTAGTTTTAGCATGAGTCAGTAGGCTGATCCTGCATTAGAAGGTGACGTTATTCTGTACTTTCGATTGCAGATAAAACTATAAAGTTGTGGAAGATCAGTGAACGTGACAAGAGACCAGAGGGATACAATCTTAAAGAGGAGGATGGGCGCTACAGAGATGCTGCTACCATCACAACTCTGCGGGTGAGTCATGCACGCTTGTCCACACTTTACACTCAAGTATAGAGTTTTCAGCAAAAATAGATTTTAAAAATCTGATCTAATTTGCTATAAATGTTTCTTCTGCATATAAATAGCCATAGAAACGGGCTTGGTGTTAAAAAAAAAACACTCAAGAATACGGTATTGATGTAGAATCTACCTAAATGTAATCGTATCCACTAATTTTCAGTTATTATAACATATAACAGTTTTTTGCATTTACACTGTCGTTCAAAAACTTGGGGTCAATATTTTTTCTCTTATGCTCACCAAGGCTTTTTTTACAAAGTTTTTTTTTTGTAATAAAATACAGTAAAAATAATATTGTGAAATATTACTATTTAGAATAACAAATTTTTCAGCATCATTACTCTTAGTCTTCAGTGTCACATGATACTTCAGAAATCATTCTAATATGCTCAAGAAACATTATCAGTGTAGAAAACAGTTGTGCTGCTTAATGTTTTTTTTGGAAACTGTGAGCAGCATTTATTTGATATAGAAATATTTTGTAACAAAATTGAAATAAATCAGTTGTTTTTAAATACTAAAAAGGTCATTTTTGATCAATTTAATGCATCCTTTGCTGAAAAAAAATACTTGCAAACCCTAAACTTAGAAAGTTGCTCTCCGTTTGTTTTAGCTCTCCATGACTGTTATATATTCATAAAAACAATTACGTTAGGCTGAAATGGCAAATAAGCATGTGAACTCTGTGTACAGGTGCCAGTATTCAGGCCTATGGATCTCATGGTGGAGGCTAGTCCGCGGCGGGTCTTTGCCAACGGCCACACCTACCACATCAACTCCATCTCAGTCAACAGCGACAACGAGACCTATCTGTCTGCAGACGACCTGCGCATCAACATGTGGCACTTAGAGATCACAGACCGCAGCTTTAGTATCCTATAAAGTGAAATGGGAATTATTTTGGAGGATATGTAGGAGGTTAAAAGCATTGTTGTTGGGTGTTGTGTTGATTTGGGTTGTGAATGTCATGTTGAAATCTCTCGGTGTCAGTTCAGCAATGTTGTGTGGCTTTAACTCCGCGTCAGACATTGTGGACATAAAACCAGCCAACATGGAGGAGCTGACGGAGGTGATTACAGCTGCAGAGTTCCACCCTCACCAATGTAACACGTTTGTCTACAGCAGCAGCAAAGGCACTATCCGCCTGTGTGACATGCGTGCATCAGCACTTTGTGACAAGCACTCTAAATGTGAGTTATATGAGCCGGCCGCATCATATATGCCACTTAATCCAATGAAGCGTTGTATTTTGTTGTTTTCTAAATAGCATATACTGTGATGTCATGTGTTAGTCGTATAAAGGTGTTTGTAAAAAAGCATGTCCCTTTATCCTCTGCTTTGTCTAGTGTTCGAGGAGCCTGAGGACCCCAGCAACCGCTCTTTCTTTTCTGAAATAATTTCCTCCATCTCAGACGTGAAGTTCAGTCACAATGGCCGCTACATGATGACCCGAGACTACCTGTCCGTCAAAATCTGGGACCTCAATATGGAGAATCGACCCGTTGAGACATACCAGGTGCGTTCATAAATGGATAGAGTAGCTAGCTACAGCGATCTTGTTTTTGCTCAGTTTTTCCAATGATAATATTACCTATCAAGCCACAGCAGGGCTGTTGTGCGTCTCCAAGCAGCACACAATTTCTGAATGAATCTGCGTTTTGAAAGAATCGGGTGAACCAATGATTTAATGGCCCATTCATAAACATTTACCTAATTCCTGAATGAATCAGCTGTTAAATGAATGACTAAATGACTTGCTCATTAAGACATTAACTGCCGTCTACTGGCAGTTTTTGCTTATTTATAGTATTTTATTTCATTAAAAAAAAAAAAAAATCATATTTCCATATTAATAAAAAAAAACATTAAAGGGATCTAAAAAAAAAAAGCAATTATTTAATTAATTTAGTGATTGTGCAGCTGTTCACTATGTCTTGTCCAAGGAGGTGGACTGAAAGAGAATTTTACTTGCCCGACTGGACAACTAACCTGATCAAAAGATCCAACTAGGGAAGCGCCGGAATTTCGGCGAGAATGATTCTGATTTCATTACATTCATTGTAGACGGTGATTGATTATAGATAATGCATTGACAGTAACAATGTCGCATCAGCTGAGGCTCACGCAGCCTGTCTGTGTATGAGAGAATCGCGTGAAGAAATCAAAACAAATGTACACAACTGCACACATAAGAAACATACTGTGGTAAAAACGTAGCTTTTATATTTATAACATATTATATAGCCTAGTTAAGCAACGTGACACGACCAAGAGAGTGCAGTTTTCCCTGAAAACCACGATTGCAAATTTGTGACAATGAATTTTATACAAGAGTTCAAATGAGTAGTTAATATTAAATTATTTACATTTTAGACACAATTTTGTCATATGTTGACCTTTATTGGTCTATTTGGTGTTGGTTAAAATTCCAAACAAAGATCACAGCATGAATTGAGTCAATGATTGTAGCCCATTCATAAAGAAAGACACTTGCTTCATTCTTGAATGAGTCAACTGTCTGAATGAATCATTTGAATGAACGCCTCAATGACTCGCTTATTAAAACAGTCACTTGCTGCTGTCTACTGGCGGTTTACTTTCAAATTTAAAAGTAGCCTATTGTTGCTTTTTTCCAACATTTCATATTTGTATTGGGGCTGGGCGATATAGCTAAAAAAATGTATCAACGATGTAATGTTTCATATTGTTTGGTATTGATAATTATTGACTTTTTTTATAACCTTTTTAAAAACAGAGCAATAAAAAAAAGTTTAAATTTAACCACTGTATGTTTAATTTGCCCAATTTATTAAGACAAACAACAATTTATTTTGTTTTTTTGTTTGTTTTAGCAGTCAAACACAAAATTACATTTTTAAAGTTTTATATGCAGATTAAATAAGTCTTAAGGAGACTTTTGGCTTGTCCCCCGAGGCCACAGGAGGGCGCAATGAGCAAAATAATGCAGTGCATTAAAGGGGTCATATGATGCGATTTCAATTTTTCCTTTCTCTTTGGAGTGTTACAAGCTCTTGGTGCAAAAAGAAGATCTGTAAAGTTGCAAAGACTAAAGTCTCAAATCCAAAGAGATATTCTTTATAAAAGTTAAGAGTCAACCACGCCTACCTAAAACGGCTCGTTCTAACACACCCCACATACCTACGTCACTATCTGGGAAGATTTGCATAACAC